TGGATAAGGCGCCTTCCAGGAAGCGATCCTCTGCCATCCTGAGCTCACCTCATACTCTTCATTTCCAGTATCCCAAAGGATCCAGTATCCCATCCTCTTTCCTAATCTGAGCTCAGGAAATGAACCGTAATTGCAAGTGCGGATGCCTTCTACTGGGGAATAAAACAAAATCACATTACGACTTCCATTAATTGTATCCATAAGTCCACCCTTATACTGACTATGCTTCAACTCCAAGATGAGCTAAAACATAAAATGCATGAACCGATTGGCCTTAAGAAATGTGAAATTGGTTATGTTTGATTAGGGAAAAAAGTCAGCATATGCATGGCTGAGATTCATGAAGGTGTTCTCTTTTTTTCTGGGAGCATTTAGACTCTGTTTCCTTCCTCGTTTTTGAGACTGCCTTGTGTCTGAGACATGTTTGCGGATATGAGCCCTGATTATTCTCGTATTATAAAGATAATACCGTAAATCAGGTTTACATATTATCGTCACGAAGATACTTTCACTTATATCCTCACGATAGAAGATGGATGATGATAAGTGTATTGAGGTCTGAGTAAGAATTCCATACCATCTGTCAATGGTATATCGGGAAGGGGGGGGAGGGGAAGGGGAAGAGACAAGGAATGGAAACAACGAAAACGAATAAAGAAGATAGGAGAAGAAAGTAACAAAAAGAAAAACAAGAAAGACTGCGACTTCTAAGATATAAGCCTAATTGTAAATGCCTCAATTGCTAAGATTGGCTTCGATGAGTAACTAAACGTGGCCTTAAAGTGCCTGACTTTCCGATTTTTGCGCTTCGTCCATTAATAGATGGCATGATGGAAAGGAATTGATGCCCTCGGATCAGTTCGTTGTGCACCTAGGATTCAATCTACAATAGAATGATAAATGGCAGCAAAAAGTGAACTTCTTCAGTTTCGCAAATAAACCTTCCACGATAAGCCACTTGCTGTTATTTTCTTCCCCTTTGCCTTCAACCCCACCTTTGAGATTTTAAAAAAAGAACCTCGATATGGCTACAATCTGCAATCTGTAGATAATTTTCAGTTAAAATCAGGTACATTTCGATTGTAGATGAAACCATACAAAAAAGTCCTGTCTATTCTATTCGAAGTAAGGGATTCCAAGCCTGAACTATGTAACTATGAGCAAAAATATAGGCTTTTCTTATTTTTTCTGATGCCAGTTGCAAACCATCCAAATGACAATTCCCTCTGCCGAAGGTTTCAAGCTGGTAGCAAGAAACAAGACCTGATATCAGCAGCTCATCGACATGTCTCCACGTGTGTGGACAGAATGAACGAGACTTACCCTGAAATGCGACAGTCCAATGAGCAAAGCCAGTGAATTTAATGCTTACCGTAAACTAAGAGTAATTCTTACCTCTCAGGGACGACCCAAGTATTTCTGGGATCTTTGATCACTTACCAAGGCAAGCCAACGGACTCAAGCAAAAATCTCCGCGAAAATAAATTGAAGCAGTGTTGAATGTCATTTACGCGACTCCAATGAGACTCGTGATTTGCCTGCGATAATACACAATCGTGATGCTTTCATTTTCTGACTGTAATTCTGGATTGGTTGAACGATCAATCCTATCGCTTCTTCCGAATAGCCCCGCAAAATGTGCAACGATAGCAGTTCGCCACCTTCCTTCTGCTCTCGCATGGAAAACCATCTTACAACTATCCAGAGTCCCACGCACTAGGATATACAATGTCGAGTGAAAAGGCGGAGACAAAGTGCAACGTTCAGCTATATTTCGAATCAACCATGGTGATAAACCGCTTTTTAAAAAAATAAAGGGCAATTTTTGTCACTACCAGAATGTGATGAAACGTATTCCATCGGGGTAGCGCCGCTGGACGTCAGTGAAAAGGGTATTGGTCCGTACTGTCGACCATATGACTGTATGAAAGGAGATAACCCTTACTCAACAGGGAAACCTCTCGAGGTTCCTGCAGAAAAAAAGCCTCAATCTCGGGGATATCACACATGTTCGACTCGACAAGAGGCGTCATACCATTGGGAAGAGAATAATTCACAATAATTTAGCGATGCCCTCCCTATCTCCACCAACCTTTGCAAGAGGTGAGAACGATTGTCGCCTAATTGCAAACGACGTGGTGGACGAAGCACCCTAGTTCATGTCCTGAATGGATCCAACATCAGCCACTCTGGGTATTACAAGTGGCGATATTATAGTGTTCACCATTCCTCAAACTCCGGGCGACAATCGACACAAGGATCCATGCCCACACGGAGGATCATGAGACCAAAGATGGGTCTGTTAATGACTTATCCGGCCATCATCACGGCGACCTGGAAAAAGATTGTGTCCGGAAAGGTCATGTTCAAGGTGGCTTTATGGAACAATTGACCCCTCAGGTCAATCGTTCGATAAAGCCTACGAACGCAATGTAGCTAAGCGGCTAAACGGCTAAGCATCGCTTGTGGTGGACCCGTGTGAAGCAGGATATGACGGAAAGTATTTCTTTCTCGTTGGTTGTAAATGCCGACGAGACGTGTGTCTGGATACACTCTACGACTAGATACTAGGTACTAGATACACAATTTTCCATGTTTAAAAAAATGTCGGGAAGTTCGGAGTGGAAAGCGATTGGAGGAACTAACGGAAGTAGGAGAACCTTGCAACTGTACGTAGCCTTCTCTTCGTCTTCGTCACCGCAGAGGAGCCGACTTGAACAGATTGCGATGCTTAGCATCCAGCTGCTATAGTAGGCCTAAGTTCTGATTTGACTGGGCACCTGATATGTGCGTCTGTTGTGCTCTATTTTTGCTAAAAATTCCTTTTTTTCCTGCCTCTATATGAGAATATAATTTGAGAATACCTTAATCAAAGAGAACCGAGGCGTGCATGCCCCATTTTTCGAAGCACACACCAGCTCATATCCTGTAAATATATTCTTCTTTGAATAAATCTTCCTACAATATATATCACCGCCTGCAACCTCCCTTTGTCCCAACTGTGTCTTTTTGAATGCCTCATGTAAAGACACCTCCTCAGCTTAAGTATATGTTATATAGGCCTATTATTCAGTGCATCTACTTGCAAAGGCCTCATGTCTTCGTGATAATTTTTCTTTTGCATGTAGTGCACGAAATTCGTATATGGCATCATCACTGAATTTCTTTCATGGTGGGTGCCGAGTCCACGTTTTGAGAGGGTGTGCTGAAACTTTTGACAAGCCCCAATATGGCAACTTTGAAATAGTGATCCAATTTCTCGGTGAAGGTTAACAAATAAAATGTAAACCCTGCGATATTCCATCGATATTAGACGGATTCCATTACTTAAACGACTACGATTGCAAGAAAGGCCAATAGTTCAGAGAGAAAGCCTTGCTTTATCGAAAAGTTGTATCAAACTCCTGTGATCTCTGAAGATTTTCTACTGACCTCATGAAGCCGATTATGATGGATTTAAATCATCCATAACATCCTGTCTGGCTTGAAAAACCTCAAGGAATATGAAGTTACATGAGTATTCGCACAAAATCTTTTTTTCCTCAAAATGATGCCTCTCTGCACTCCTAAGCTCAAATTTTCCAGAGTATATCGGTCATCCTGGTAACTGACTGACAGTCACACGGAAGGCTATTTATCATGATGAGATTGACAATATTCAAATATGTATTCTGGGTGCAACGACTAACTTGGACATTAAGAAGCAACAAAAAGATAAGAAAGAGAACTAAATGTTCATCTGGCTAATCTAGTCAATGGCCACGTTTCGCACTGACTCGAGAATTTATTTTTCATTTTAATTATATCATGACTTCAAATCCTCTCCTTGCGACAGCGCTTGTACGTACAGGGAGAGAAACCACCTACTTCCTGTGATAAGATGACATAGATGATGTTGGTAGTTTCTGGCGCACGAACGCTGTGATCCAGGAGTCGTGTATCTCTCGTCCTTTTCTCAGCCTCATACCCCTGAAAATGTTATTGCCTGGGTAGTGGGCATTCAATTTCGAGGAAGAGAGTTGAGGTGGAGATGGAGGCGAATGAGCTTTGAGCGTCAATGATCTATATAGCAGTTATGGAAACGTGGACGAGGTCTTTCTTCCCACTCGAGAGACATCTAGTGCAAACTGAGCGAAGGTAGCATTTTTTGTGGTGTCTGTTCTTTTCCCCGCTGTTTTTTTCAGTCCTGGGAGTAAATCTCCTTTTCGGTCCGAACCAGAGAGAACAATTTAGGCCAGTACAACTCGGATAAGCGAATTCAGCATCGATTTGTGCGATCGGGACTATCCCAAGGGCGTATTTATCCCATATGCCTAGGAATGGGGAAAGGATGGATAAAGAAAAACGGGAAGGTTAAGGAGAAGAGGAAAGAAGGCGATATCCGGGGACACAGTCGCATCGATATCAGGCATGAAAGAGAGAGAGCGCGCTAATAAATAGAAGACAGAGAGAGAGAGACAGGAAGAAGGGCTTTCCGATATATACTTTCTCTCTCTCCATGAATAGCATTAAGATAGTGGGAAGATTAACGACAAGCAGGACAGAGTTATGTCCGAAATATACGGCGATTGTGTCAGGCGCGATGAGATTTAGCGGTTAGATGATAACCTCTGTCACTGGCTCCAGCAACGGATATATCTCTCACCACTTACCCGCCTTATAGACAGAGATATATTGGAAAAACCCCTCTTCCCTCCTCCCATCTTCTCTACCCCCTCTATCCGCTATCTCACTCAAGGTCTCGCTGGGAACGGGAATCGAAATAATCAGCATGCTATCTGATGGTTAGGAATAAAGGCGGTGGGTAGAATGGTGTTAAAAAGAGGGATTGTTTGCGTTGGATTTTTCGCAGGAGTCGATCCGAGCGATATTGGCAGGCCATTGTATCGGGGATGTGGCTGACGATACGAAAAGGCGATTGGATCGGTGGTTAAAGGCCCAATTGAAGGAAACTGCAACTTCTCTTTCATCCGATCTCGATTCTCCTCCCTCTTCTCTCAATGGACATGTGAGTTCCTCGTCTTTGACAATGAAAAACTTTTTTTCTAAGTTCTGCTCAGGATTTCCCAGTTCTGGTTACCCAGTTCAAGTACCCATATAAGGTCAGCAAGTTCCGTTCTGATGCGTCAAGCAGCCACCGGTTTGTGCTTTTTACAAACTCGACAGCAGCAGCAACAGGCGATCTCTTTTCACTTGGGGACTGGGACGACGAATAACTTGGGTGTTGCGATTTCCACTCATACACATCAGCAGAGAATCCGGATCAGAACGAGTTTCGACCCCGAGATGGAACTCCCACGCCTCCAGCTGTGGTTCAATCAAAATCCTCATCCCTCTCGAGCCCAGGTGAATTTCAAAATGACCGGAGAAATAGACGATTGCAATGGGGCGAGAGTTTGATGGCATCCCTTATTGCAGCTCCAGATGTATGTCCAAGAGTTAAATGCCCTGGATTCTCGTCGGACCCGAAAGCCGTTGGACGTGACGAATGTGATGTACTGGTTCAAGAACGCCAGGGCGGCTCAAAAACGGGCAGAACTGAAGCATCAGCCTTCCCCTGGCTCCTCTTCTAACCACACCCACCCACATCCTTTCTGTCTACCCAACAGAGAGAGGCTCATCGCTCGTCAAAAGGTATTCAGCCTTCCTGTCTTTCACCGATCAGGTCTTTGAATACTTGCTTACATAAGTGGCTTCATAAATGGCATCTTTCTGTCCACCGTTAATGTTAAGGGCGGTTTCAATAGCACCAGAACTTAAGTGGGAAGGATTTGACTTGGAATGGATTCTTCCGTAGGATGGATATGGAGAAGGTGAAATGCATGAGCCTCAGGAAGAGGAATCTGGAAGTTCATATGGAAGGCAAAAAGAAGACTTGCCGACGGAAGATGAAGAGATCGATGTCGACGACGAAGACTCGACGGCTTCCAATGAACCGCTTTGTCTCACCAGGAATGACAAGGTGAGATTCACAAAAAGCATAATCTCATGACATTCGGTGTCCGGACACCTTCAAGACTAGAAGTATTTACTTATGAAATCAATGGAATGTGAGTATGGTGCTAATATGAACTTCGCCGACATGACCCCCGCTAGATGAAATGTTGGAGACTATGGCCCGAATGGTGAAACCTGCTTTAGTTAAGGGTCCTATATGAGTCCATGGACTCCTAGAGGGGGGGAAAAAAAGAGCTATTTAGCCTAAAAGCCCCTTTATCTGGTCTAAATGAGGTTTCAGCATTCGGGCCTAACCTTTTACCCCACTCCTCCATTTTTCGTGCCATGTTTCTGAATTCATTTGAAAACTCTTTCCTTCGCGAAAAATTTCCCGGTCACCTATGCGTACCTAGTTCTCTTTCCATGAGCCTCAGAGGACTCTCTCGTATCAACAATATTCGTTGCCGTGATGATAGTAACTATTCAGTCGCTTCCTTTTGTGGACCTCACGTTCCAACAAAGTGAGGGCGCAGTGGAAGCAGACCCAGGAGTACCTTCCGATGCACGTGATGCCAAACCTCGAGTAACAAAGCTTTACGGCAATCTCTCCATCTAGTACAGTCTACCAACCGGTCCACTGCCAGTCGTCTTGGACTGAGAAACTCCCTTTAGGAGTCTTTCGGTGGGGACGGGAAGGGGGAAAGGCATGCAATATCTGAGAGCAATTCGTCTTTTAGCATTCACGGATGACGATACCCCACATCCCATCTCTGATTTATCAATCTCTCAATAGTTAATACAGGGACTATCGCAGTCCTGATTATCCTGGGCGACGAGTGATCCAATACGAAACGCCCCAATCGAACTCATCGAGCTCGTTTTGATTCGTTTTGGTTTCCTTCAACCGAATACTCCTATATCATAGTATCACCAGGGATACTATGGCCTTTCAAATCTCTGGGGACCATCGTCGCGACGTGCGTGGGAATGCGAATCGTTGAGGATTACATCAATTATGATATACAGTAACGGCTGCCAAAGTTGCCATCGTCTGACCGTATCTGAGCGTAAGATATGTCTCAGTGCGGGTAGAAACCCGCACTGAGACATACAGTATCTTACTGAGACATATCTATGAGTGAAAAGGTAGAAGAAAACCGGTTTCTTTCACGTGTCACATCAAAGTAAGGAGGTGCCGAAAGGGTTTTAAAAAAGATCTCCATTGGCGGGTTTAGGTGATGCCGGAGGGAGTGTGGATGCCATCCCTGGTCGGTGGTCACGGTCAGGGCCAGGGGCCGCCGCCGCCGACGCCTCACGGCCACGGTCATCACGGACCGGGGCCGGGGGATTACATGGAAAGCCTGGGTCTTCATCTCACGCCCTCCTCCGTTCTCGGTCAGAGGATGGTCTACATGTCGCAGTACATGCCCCAGTTTGCGGCTGCGTGTGTCGCGGGTTTCCCTTCCACCTCTGCTTATCAGGGGAATCCCGAGGATCGCAAGAAGAGAAACCGCACCTTCATCGACCCAGTCACTGAGGTACCCGCGTCCCTTTTCCTCTTTCAAACTTTTGCCGCATTTTAGTCTCTTCTACTTTTCATTTATTATTTCTGATATTAAAATGTTGCGAAACTATGATTCTGACATTTATTTATAAAATGTATTCATATATATTTAATTTCAAAATCGTTTCCTGTCTCACGTTAAGTTGATCTTTTCGTGGACTTTTTCAGGTCCCACGCTTGGAGGCATGGTACCAGGGGAATTCTCACCCATCTCACTCGCTGATCATCCGTTACACGCAGGAGCTGAATTCCATGCCCTACCGCCAAAAGTTCCCCAAGCTGGAGCCCAAGAATGTTCAATTCTGGTTCAAGAATCGCCGGGCGAAGTGCAAGCGGCTCAAGATCCTCTCGGAGAAATATCTGGATTCCAACGGGGTGTGACCTGGCTCGAACTCTGACCGCACATATCTCCCTAGTCTTACCCGAGTGACCCGTTCCCACGAGTATAGATTCCTGTTTCGTTCATATACCTCATATTGACGTGAGCAAGGATACGACAATGTGATACTTGATTCGTATTCCTATATATGGAAAAAAAAACTTCAGGTACATGCATACGTATGTTTCATATTTCCCCTACATGTGAGTTTGAATATGCTATAAGTGAGGGGTTTCGTCCGTTGCAGTATCCATATGCTTGATGTGATAGGATTCGACTCACGCTTAAAAATGGTATTCATATTATAGTATGATATGAAACTTTTTGTATCCCAATGAGTGCCCTTTTTTAAATTTAATTCCTGATATTGTCTGTTGTTTTTTGTTTTTGTTTGTCCTTATCGATGTACTTCCGACAATATCGGGAAGAACCGAGTCAGTGTGTTCTGTGTCCTTTCGTGTGGCCCCATTCGTGTCCCCCCCCCCCCCCCCCCCCCCCCCACCCTCTTCATCTCCAGACTCGAGGGAGGAAAAGAAACGCGCGCCAATTTCCCCGCGAATTCTTCCGACAGCAGGTTGTTTTTTGATTACCTTCATCCCGGGGGAAAGTTTCTTCGGACTGGATCGGATGGCAGAGAGAGAGACTGACAGAGAACAGAAACTTTCCCGAGAATGTTTTTTCAGCTGATCACTGATTATCCTTTTTACTTATGCCGCGATGGAAATAAAACTTTCGAGGGTCGTTTCGTTCCGCTTCGTCTGAGAATTTCTCTTCAGTGTTTCCCTCGGCTTTTGGAAACCTCCCCTCGTTCGATCCCACAAGAATTGTTTCCCTTCTAATTTTTCTCGTGACCGACGCGAAACCTCAGAAAATCGGTTTCGCGAGCGAAATCCGCCAGTTCACGGTCCCGATCGGTTGGCTTCGCGGCGCCGCTTTCCCGACGGGATCGCGAACCCGCTCGTTACGTCATCGATGACATCACGCTTCGTCCCTGGCGACGGGAAACTCGAAGAAATCCGGTGCGAGCGCGTTCGCAATGCGGACCGACTGGCTTCACCGAATGCCTCCGCGATGCGTGACGTCACTGTCCACGTCATACGTACTCTCTCTGGGCGGGTCATTCCCTAGCTCTCTGGAGGCAACATGATAAAGGTGGTAAATAGAGCTGAGTTAACTCTTTCGCTGATACCGGGACATACCTTGTCCCGTTACTAATATTCTACTAAAATCGTTGTAATTATAAAACGATCCATACGTAGCATCTAATCATACGTATCTTAAGTTTTCATACGTATCGTTCAAAAGCTGGACGATTTCCAATAACGGTCGTCAGATGTCATCACTCACAGTTCATTATATGTAAGGCTCAGTGGCTGAAATATTCTACAAAAATTGGTCACGGTTAAAAGAGGTACGATTTCACATGCATATCGCCGTCGCGATTGTTCGAGGGTTTTCGGAGGAAGTCATCAAGGGAAGGAATTTTGTTAGGGATTTGATCGGTTCTGCCCTCTATGAAATGCGATGGAAACTAAAAATCTCCTCTCGTTTTCACTAGATGGCAGCACTGGGCCCATTTCTTGCCTCTCGCAGCTCTGAACCACACGGCCAGGTATTTAAATTAAAAATATGCTCTTTGGTTCGAGTGCAGATGTTCCGCAATTTCTCAGTACCGGTACTTCGGTACAAGTTTGAAAAACAAGACTGGAAATGTTCTTCAAGCGCAAGTACCAGTTAACAGAAAATTAGCACCAATCACGAGTGCTAGATGCACGAAGACCATTCCAGAACGAAAGAATCCAGCATGAACCAGAGAACCCAAGATCAATTTGTATTTCTGCATGTATTTGACCGTTTGGCGAGGCCGACGACAAAAGAGGGAAATATGCAAAGCGTGTCGGCGGTGGCGTCGCTTTTATCGCATTTCCTACTCTTTCTTTTCCATCGGGACTTCTGCTCGTTCGGTCGAGATCGCCGTCGTCACGTTGTTCTGGGGTCGTCGATTTGCACGATCGTTCGGGTCATCGTTGTTTCGGCAAAATGGGGAGGCGACTCCGGAAACACGTGATTCCATGCGCCGTCACGAAACTTCTTCCCCGTAAACGTTTCTCTTATTATTTTTTTTTTTTTTTACTCAGGAGGCCTGACCTAGTTTGTTCACCAAAAACGGAATTGCTGCTGCCTGCTTTCACCCGAGACTTCCGTCGGTATGCCAAAACGACCTGGAGACACGAAATTTTCAAGAAATTCACTTGATCGCGCATACCCCATCACGTGCGCCCGTCTATGCGTCTGTCCGTGAGACTCTCACGGCCTCTGCGTTCCCGTTCCTCCTGTCATTGTTTGACGACACGCGAAGGAATATGGTGAACGCTCGATGGTCGCTGGAGAGGATCGTAACGAGTCGCGTGGGGAGTCCCGATTCCTCTCCTCTCGGTCGGAAAGAACAGCCGCCACCGGAGAGAGTACCTTCGTCTTATTCCCAAAAGTCCCCGAAGGTTTCCAAAAGTGAACGAGAATGTCGATTCTGGAATCGTCAGAGGGACGAGGAGGGGAGCACGATGCACGGCAGGTCGGATATCAAGCTTGACTTCATGCCCTTCCTCGGGGAATCCTTGCCCTTCCTCGGGGAATCCATGCCCTTCCTCGGGGAATCCTTGCCCTTCCTTGGGGAATCCTAAAAATAGTACTATTCGGAATCGGGTGGAGGCCTCCGCAATGGATGACAGCGACGATCAAGCTTGCGGACACGCATGGACAAGATACAGGCCGAGCTGGTTTCCGTCTCGTTTCCGATAGAGCGGAGGTTCAACCCGTTTCAACCGGCTTTCAACCGCGCCCCGCTAATCTCCTCATGTACCTCATTCCTTTTCGTTTTTTTCCTGTCTTGTGTTTCAATCACTCGACACGGCGTGGCCGCGAGAGGAAATCTCTCAATCTAGGTGGAATCCCTCAAAATTTCCTAGGGATTCTCGGGCGACTCCCAGAGGATTTTCCAGTCGGGACGTGGCATCACTGGGCATCGCTGGGCATCACTGGGCATCACTGGGCATCGCTGGGCATCGCTGCGAACCACCTCGGGGGTTCAATGCCCCATCTCTCGAGTCCCCCTCAGACCCCAACGAAAAAAAATCATAATAAATCATCAATAAATGGCTAATAAAAATAAATCTGAG